CCATCCGGCCATCTTCCGGGCCATTATGAGGCAATTTGGGGAGCGGACCATCGACCGGTTCGCTTCCCACCTGAATTCCCTCTGTCCCGCCTTCAATTCGAGGCACCACGAGCCCCATTCTTCGGGGGTGGACGCCTTCCTCCAGGACTAGACGGGCGAGGCCAACTGGGCCAATCCGCCGTGGTCTCTTCTCCCACGGCTCACGGCCTTCCTGCGGCACCATCCGGCAGTGGAAGCGGTGGTCTTGGCGCCAGACTGGCCGTCGGCCATGTGGTTCCCGCGCCTATGCCGTCTGGCTTCGGCGGAGCTGCGGATTCCCCGCCGACCGGGCATGTTCACGCCGGGCGATCCATCGATCCTGGCCCGTCTGCCTCCCCCCCGGTGGAACCTCCGATCCTTTCACATCCGGCCGCGGACTTGGGCTCGGATTCCGACGCTGGCCCGCCCTTTTCCCGCTCGGACTCGCCGGTCGCGGACCCCCTCCCGGTCGAGGTAATGCCGGCCGATCACCCGTTGTTTGGCTGTGATGTGGACGGCCTGTCCGCGTCCGATCGGTCGTGGATGCAGGGACAGTTTCTTTCCTTTTATACCGAGTCTACGCGGCGATCAATGCATCAGAAGTTCGACCGCTTTGCTGCCTTCTGCGCGGCGCACGATTTGGCCAGCCTGCCCGCGCGCCCTTCCTCCATTTACCGGTACATCCGTTTTCTGCGGGAGGAAGGCCGGGTGGGGGTCCGCAGTCTCCCCCAGTATTTGGCGGCCATTTCGATGGTCCATCAGGCCATGGGCCACCTGGGCTTTTCCGCCTTCGATCCCGTCACCCGGCGCCTTACCCGGGCATGGAGGCGGCAGGAACCGGAGCCGGCCCATTCGCACCGGCCGGTTCCCACGAATCTGCTGCGATCGATCCTGGAGTTCGGGCTGGAGACCGGCGACCTGCGCCTCCTTTGCGCGGCCTGCTTGGCTACCTTAGACTTCCTGTTTTTCAATCGGGCCCAGAGCGGCCATTTGATCCTCCTCGACGACATCCGCCTGGAGAATGGCCTGCTGGTGTTTTGCGAACGCCGGACCAAGCTCTCGGCGTCGACGGACCCCAGCGTGCGGTGCCGGTCCTGGCCATCGGCGGGCTAGAGGTGGCCACCCGGATCCGTTAATAGCGGACAGAGGTTAATTTCCGTTAATTTTCCGTTAATTAACGGAAAATAACGAAAGAAGACAAAAATTAACCAAAAATTAGCATATTTTTGGATTTTTTGGGGATTTTTGGGTTTTAGTCATACTTATAGTTTATGGAATTCGCTATTAGAGAGTATGTTTGTATTTTATTTCAACCTATGCATACTAGATTTTCAACTAGCCGCAGTTGTTGTGATTTTTTGGGGTTTTTTTTTGGATTTTTTTGGATTTTTTTGGATTTTTCTGAATTTTTCTCCCTTTTTCTTTAACGAAATTTAACAGACAGCTGATAAAAATTAACGAACCGGATTTAACGGACCGGATGGCACCCTTGAATGGCCACCTCTACGGCGGGCGCCCCAGCGGTGCTTGATCTCTTCCTCCGGTGGTCGGCAGCCCGGGACAAGGCGTGGGCAGATGCGGGGGGCGCCTCCCAGCACTTCTACATGCTCCCGGGGGAGCGGAACCCCTCCGCGCGGATGGTTTCGGGCTGGTTTCCTCTGCTGCAGCAGGCCCTTCCGTCGCTGCCCCCCGAGCCCTTCGATCACCACGGACTGCGCGGGGGGGGGGGGCGCCAGCGCCTGCTACGCCTTGGAGGTGCCGGAGGGTCGCATCCGCGCCTAGGGCGAGTGGCGCAGTAACGTTATGTGGAAGTACATCGACGTGTATCGGCTGCCGTCCGAGTGGGACTTCCGCCTTTTTGGTTGGATGACGCTAATGGCCCGCGACTTACATGCCAAGTACGGGCACATCTTCTGCCCAGGCGGGGCGTCATCGGCCCGAGGGTGACCAAGGCATGACCACGCCTTTGCTCCAGAGGAGCTGCACCGTGCCCCAGTGTGAGTGGGCACATTTTAAGTGGGTCGCCAATCGGGTCTTGTACTAGTGCGGTGATGGACACCAAACTGTGTGAGTGTAATGTATTGTCGTGTGGGGGACACGGGGGGGGGGGTTGAAGGAGACCGGTAAGGCAGAAACCCATCGTATGCCAATTACATAAGTGATCCACCTAGTGAAAACGGTGGTCATTATGTGGCGTCACGAACAGGCCCACTTTGCTGTTCCGTGAGTGTCTTTCGAGGATTGTACCCTGACGAACTGTGAACATGCCGCACTGAAAGACGCCCATTGCGGGTGCACATCGTCGTCGGGTTCAGGTCGATCGGGCGAGCATCCATTTTCGTGCGTGACCGGTCCACTGCCGGAAGACTCGCCATCTGGACGCCATTTCCGCGGTGGTTCGAGGCTTCGGCGCCACACAAGGCCCAGTGTCACACTGTTCTTGCCGATTGCACCCTGGCGCAGCATTTTTCCATCCTTGTTCATGGAGGGAGCGGATGGGAAGATCGTGACCTGAACCAAGGGAGGCATTACACACGCGCACGTTCGACGAGCTGCCCCGCCGCACATGTCTGCCTCCCTGCGCATTGTCGTGCCCGTGCTTGACTGAGACCCGCAGTCATTCGTAATCCATTGTATCACCCCCTCATCGCTGGCATTACTGCGGCCGTCGGCCTGAGAGACTAATCGCCGCGGCTTCCCGATCACTGCTTCCTGGCTCCCCCAAAGTACATACCCGTTGTGGTGCCCGTCGCCAGGTACAACCTGGCGGCGCCTGACTGCACCGTCGTTGGACGTGCGAACATCCAATGCGCGGGTGTCGAGGTTACTGCACCGGCGGGCTGCGTACCCGTGCGTACGGCAGTACAGCGCTCGCAGCGGACAGGGCCGTGATTTTGTCGTGTCCCAGGCCATGTCGTTGCGCCCACTTGCGCTCTGGAGAATAGAGCTGGGCCCGAGGGTTCCGTCGAGGCGTCGGGAGGGCAGGAGGCGACCACTGGAGGGTTAAACACACAAGCGACGTTTCGGCCGTGTTCCAAAGGCGACGGCCGCGGAAGTCTCGTTTGCCGCGCTGCGAGGGCGCGCGGGGAGTGGTCGCGGTTTGTCGCCGGATGGGGATCTGCCTGAGCTGCGAGGGGGGGGTGGTGCCACGGGCGTCGGAGCTGGGGCTGCCACGCAACTTCACGGTGCTCAAGGAGCTGGGCGCCGGCGGGGAGGGCAGGACGTACCTGATTCGGGAACGCTTGGAGAACGGGAGGTGGGCAGAAGGCCCGGAGGGGCCCCAGAGGGGTGGGGAGGGGTGGGGGCGTGCGGTGCAGCCGGGTGATGATTTAGCGCCGGCGTGTTTTGGATGCGCAGGTCGGAGCTGTTCGCCGCGAAGGTGGCTGCTCGCGGACCGGGACTGGACGTGAACTGTTTGCTTCAGGGGATCCGGAATCAGTGGTGAGTGGATGCCGCCCGGCATCTAGACGTCGCGGCGGAAAGCGCGCCCCGGGAGCGCGGCGGGGGCGCGATGCTTTTCTGATGCGGGGCGATGGGGCCGCCTGGGGGGCATCGCGGGGGATCGTGCCACGCCAGCGTCGGAGGCGCTTCTCAGCCTTCGAGGTTTCGCTGGTGTGACGTTCCAGCACCTCCAAAGGGCATTTTCAACGCGAACTCAGGGCGAGAAACACGGCCTGGCGAGGGAGACCCACTCCGGCGGCTGCGGAGCGCCTCGCGTGGCTGCCTTGCGCTGCAGGAAGCCTTGGACATTTTCGCGCGACGAAAATAGGGAAATACTGGCATCTTGGCAAAAGGGGCCGGAGAGAAGCCGCCCGCTGCACGGGTCTCCACGTACCGCCGCGAGCGGCGGGAGGCACGGATGTGCGCCCCAGCAGCCATCTGTTGGCAGTTCGAGCTCCTGTCGGGGCAACCTGCGCTGAAGGGCGCTGATCGTCTCCTGGCGTTCGCCGACCGTTGTTTCCCGTGTTTCCGTGCAGTGCACTCAGTCACGTGAACATTGTTCGACTCCTCGAGGTGATCCTCACGCACAGTCACGTGATAATCAAGCTGGAGTATGCTCGAGGAGGCGAGCTGTCTGGTGGGTGCAGTGTGCAGTGGCGCGTCCTGCTGGTTGCGCGGTGCACACCTGCCACTGCATGTCCTGTACTGCTGCTGTGGCTGGTGTGGCGCGTGGGACACGCGCTGCCTTGAGAATGGGTTGGGCTAGCCTTGTGGCCAATCTGCGGAGTGACTTTCTTGGCTTGCGCACTCCGGCTTAGTAGGCGCAGCTTGCGCACACAGTTCGCTGCACGTCTCCCGTGCGTGAATGGCGTCCCAAACGCGTGCGTGGCGCTCCTGTCCCTTTGCATCTACCATCAAGCGTGGACCATTCTCAAGGTGTGGAATGTGACAGTTGGATGTTTACAATTGCGCTCGGGAGCCTGTAGGGACAGCTGTCTGTGCGAGAGTCAAGGACGGACAGCTTTTCGAGACTGCTGTGCAGTATCTCACAGTTGGCAGCCGTTGGGCGTATACTGCCTTGTCACCCGGTGAAGCGCGGCTCCGTAGAATGGCACTTGCGTTCTTGCCGGCGTGTGTCTGCGTCCTGGGGCTGCCTTGGAGCTGATGGAAGCTGTTGGGGAAATGTGGTATTGGAGTAGCGTATTCTTAGTTTGTGAGTCGTTCAAATGCGAAACGTAGCTTGGAACTTGTGTGCCCCGTTGCGGAGTGCAAGGAATCTGGGACCAACTTGGCCGTGTTGCTGCAGACTACATCGCCAGGCAGCATGCCCAGTCCTCCAGCCAGCACATGTCTGAGGAGCACGCACGTTTCCTGTTCATGCAGCTGCTCGATGCAGTTGCCCACTGCCATGAGAATGGCATCGTCCACCGGGATATCAAGCTGTCGAATGTCCTCCTCGATGGCGGCAAGTGTCCCAGAGTCAAGGTGATGAAACAGCAACAACTTGTGAAAGTGCCGTGGCTGTATTCATGTTTTTCCTTTTCTCGCAAGACCACATTTAGATGTATGCGGATAGGGAATGCATGGTAAACGGATTCATATGATGAAGGTGCTGAGCACAGCTGGTGAAAACTCAGTGTCGCTGTGTACCCAGTGATTTGCCGATACATCTGCACTTAAGGGGTCATCCCAGCTCCTTTCCATGCCTCTGTTACCCTCCACTTCACCCTCTGACAGATGTAGATTGCATTGTGTGGCCATGCACTGCCGACTGGCAGCATAATGAGCTGTTCAATTGCCAGCACGGATTAAACAGGAACAAACACTTGCAGCCGTGTAACAGCAACTCATGTAACAGGCACAGGGGCAGTGCCTTGAAGCCATATGTTGGTGCGTTTGTTGGGTGCTGATTCTTGTGCTAGTCTGTGGTGCATGCACAAGTGGCCCATGTTTCTGGGTCCAAGGTTGCAGTGCAGTCCATCCACTTTGCACTTGCCAAAGTTGGATTAATCTGCCATTCTTGTTGCAACACATGTTTATGCCAATGTTCACATTCACAGCTAGTTGTGAAGCATTGTCTGCTTCACTCCCTCCCGTTCTCTTCTCAGGTGCATTGGCTCTTGCATTTGTAGGTTTGCGATTTCGGACTGTCGAAGGACTTCTTCAATAATGAATGCAGGTGTTGTCCACCGGTGAGTTCTTTGGTTTTGATCAGATGCCCATGAGTTTTAAAAGGTCAGGATGCTTTTGCCAGGTACTGAGACTACCATCACCACAAGTCATCTCATTGCCTGCATGTGTGTGTTTGACATTCGCATTGCACCAACGCAAGCTGCCATGCTTCAATCCTGGCCATGTCCCTTGCAGTAGCTTCTAGGCTCCTGTTGCAGCACAGGCCATCTCGTGTGGTGCTCCATGCTGCCTTCCACATCTAGAGCTGAGCTGACTTGGACACTACTGTATTTTTTCTGTGCAGGAGAAGTGAAACTTAACAGCACCCATTTGTTCATGAATTAAGGTTGATTTCAAGTGTCATTGCCAAGTGTAGTGCCCTGGCTATCAATGGATGATATCGCGGCTGTCAAGAACGTGCCAGAAAACAATGGATTGCTAAGAAGAGTATCTTCGGCTTGCTGCAGGCGGGCTCCCCACTGTACATGCCGCCTGAGGTGTTGAAAAACGTCGTGAGGCGTGTCCATTCTCAGCACGACCCAATGAAATCGGATGTCTGGAGCCTGGGGGTCATCTTGTTCGCCATGCTTCTCGGAAGGTGCGACGGCGAAACAGGAGAAATCAAATTGCAGCATCTGACCAGGAGCTATGGGAAGTGCGTCAAACTATGTTGTGCAAGGGCAGGCCTGGTCTTCGTTCCTCCTTGAAACGGTGCCCTCATGGCCTCAGTCCGAATGTCGCACACCAGCATTCACCACTTTCGACGTCGCCATTTGAACCATTCCAAACTAAACAGTCAACACGCACACCCATTATTGACCCTTCTGCCCTGATGGTTGACTCGGATGGCCGCGCCTCTTCTCAAGCATTGCGCTGAGTTGGTGCAACTTCACATAAGCTTTCATGCATCCATACTCGGGTGGGCAGCAGCGTGGCATTGACGCACCCTTTCCATCGCGTGTGCCCAGGTTCCCGTTCGGCTCCCAGCGCCCGGCTGGCACCGGCGCCCTCTCGCGCAGGTCGTGCCGCCTGTCGCGCAGCTGGGACAACTTCTCCGCTGGCTGCGCCACGCCCAAGGGCCCCCACCGCTCCGACCTGCGCTTCCTGCTGCGCAACATGGTCAAGGCCCACAGCGCGGACCTGCAGCACCTCAAGTCCGAGGTCTGGGGCACCTGCAAGCTGTCCCCAGACTGCCGCGCCCTGCTGGACGGCCTGCTGGCCATGGACCCCTCCGTGCGCCTTAGCCTGGCCGATGTCCAGCACCACAGGTGGGCGGCTTGCTCCCTTGTTTCTTCTTGGTTTGTTTGCTTCATTACTTACTTTCTACCTTTTCTTGGTTTGTTTCTGTTTTCTTTGTTTCTTTTTTCGGTTCTTTTGCTTTCCTTTTTTTGGTTTCTTTGTTTCACAGTTTCCGTTCCTTACATGGATGCATCGACATACATCACTACAGTGTGGCGTGCAATCCAGCGTGCGAATCGCACGTCCATGTCCACCTACGGTATGTATCTACGGTATGAACTGACGGTATGCAATGCATCTAAAAGCACGCCACTGATGGCGGTCGCTGCACAGGTGGGTGAACGGGCCGCTGTTCCTAGAGCACGCGCAGACGATCGCGGGCGCGCGGCACGAGATGGAGCGCCGCCAAGAGGACAGGGCGGGCAGGGAGAAATCCGGGGACCCGGAGGAGGCCAGGGCGGACGAGGAGCTGGCGGAGATCGCGGGCATGGCTGCGGAGTTCGGCTGCCCCGGCGACGCGCTCGTGCGCTGGTCGCCGGTAGCCGAGCGCGCTGGGAGGGAGAGTGCCGGCGTGGAGGACAAGGACCTGTTCGAGACCCCGGGGGGCCTCAAGCGCCGGACGGCGTCGATATAACATCGGTTCCGATATTGGTTCCGACATGTGTTCCAATATGATATTGGCTTCGACGTCGGTTCCGACATGATATCGGTTCCGATGTGATATTGGTTCCGATGTCGGTTCCGACGTGATGTTGGTTCCAATAAGGTTCCTGCGAAACGGTGGGAATTGGGGAACTTGATTGATGAGGCAAGGCGGGCGTGTGTTGGACGCCTGCTGGGGCCCCGGCGGAGGCTGAGGCGTGCGTGGGTGGCGAGGCAGGAGGGTTTGACCGAATAAGCGTAGGGGGGGACGGCCGCCGTCAGGGGGGCGTGGGCTGGGGCGGCGAGACTGCCCATTTTTGGACATTCGGTGATTTCATTTGGATGTGTGCATTTTGCGTGGGATTATATACATTTTCGCATGACCAGGTTGGGATGCCAGGGGATCCGACGCGTGGCAGATTCACAAACCTGGCTTCGGAACGAGTGAAAGGGGGGATATATTGTACATGGGTCCGGGAGTTGAATTGTGCGAATGGGTTTTGGTTGCTGCGGGGTGCGATGATGGGTGTCGTCCAGTCGGTGCAGGTGGCGACCCTTGCCGTGAACAAGAAAGCGGTCGACAGGACGCAGGGCGACCTATTACCACTTCTTTGGATGAACGTGCCTCGAAGAAACTTGGAACTTGACGCTCTATGCTACACATAGGAATATTCTTGTCGGCTGTCACGGCTGGAGATCAGACCTTGGAGGAGAGCACTGGGGGGGGGTCGGGGATTGGAGGGTATTGAATTCAAAGGGCATTGCAGAGGTCGATGAACTGCATAGGCGCTTAAAACGATGCGGCGAATTCTGCGGTGAATAAAAAGAAGTTGATGCGGGATGGGACTCCCGGCATCATATCCGTGGATAAACGTGTACTGAATTTGTGTGGAGCAAGAGGGGCTTGTCGGAGTCGGAATGGTATCCTGGGGGATTTGTGTATGCGGACAGATTGCTTGTTCGCCCCTCAACAGCCCGGTGGAGGGGTGGTGAGTGCTGAAAATGACCATGGCATAGTTAAGGAAGAGTGGCACAACGGGTGTTGCGCTGTTGCCTGGGCCCCAATAACTTGAGCGTTACCCCACGAGGGGTCGCCCGGAGTGGCAACACCGCCCGGAGTGGCCTCCCTCGAGGTGACTTGGACCAATGGCACATTGGCGCCGAGTCGTATGTCTGATGCGGTTGGCGTATTGGTGGGGCGTGTGTTTGTATGGCGTGCCGGAGGTTGACTATGGGAGGACTGGGGCACCCGCAACGAGGTGCTTTGAGGGATATGTGTTGGAGGGTGCGTGGAAAGAATAACATTGTGTCAGCGCAACAAGCTTGTGTGAGCAAGCGGCCGCCATGTAAAAATGGTATTCAGGGCGCATGGGAAGACGCTGCAGCCCTTCAAAGTGTATCCACTTTTGTTTGTCCAGAGGCTGTTGCCTCCCTGTGTGGCTTCCATCATCGTATCGCCGACGCTGAGCGAAGCTGGAAGCTTTGTTCATATGTATTTCGCACAAGTTCGCACAGTTTGTAAACAACTGTGCGAACTTGTGCCAATACATTATTCCATGCCAGCGGCCCTGTGACCGTAGCGAGATGGGTATTGCAATATCATTGCGACAGCGGTGTTGTCCCTTGCATCTAGTCCGTTCATCAATGTCCCCAACGCAATTCCTAATGCCTCATCTCCTCTTTGTGCGTCCAGCCGGTAAATAATGCTCGACCAGTTCTAGTTACAACAGTATCTTGCCTGAGGAGAGCATCCAGCGGCGGTGTTGCGGACAGTGCCGTTGGGTGACAAACCGGCTGAAAGGGCGTCGTCTCCACAGTGGAGCATGGCCCCGCGTGGGTTTGCGTTTAGAAGGTGCCACGCGTTCGACACGCACTGCGACAGCCCTCTCTCAACACACCACGACGAGCCGCGAAAACCGGGGGAAGGAATCAAGTCACCACAGCGAAAGTCCGTTCGTGCGGGGGTGCTTTCTCTGCATGGTCCCAGCGGACCGCTGGAAAGCGCTGGCGATTTTAGCCGTGCTTAGCTCATCAGGGACACGCGTCGCGCCCCGCGTGTCGTTTTCTATGTTGCTGCAGTGGAGAGATTTCTTCACGAGGCCTTCACTGGTGGGTAGGGTGACAGCTGGGTGGGCAGAGTGACGAACGGATCCGAAAACGCGGTTGTTAAACAACTTCGACACAAGCCAGCAACTGCATCTGACCAATGGTCGCACAAACTGGCAACAGCGCACTACAATTAAGGGTCGGACCCGCGCTCCTTCCTGCACACATTCCATTTATATTGCTACATTGCCTCTCGTCCGCTGTCTTCGCCCACCTTTCTGCGCTACCCCCTCCCACGCATTGGGACTGGCGATCAGAACAAATCGACTTCGTCCCCATTAGCCTCGTTCACATCGTTTCCAGACTGCCGTCGTTCCGAATTCTCCGTGGACCTTGTCACGACCACCTGCCATGTCAAGACAGCCGCCCAGTCGTCACATCCCTTCGCAGGCAGAAAATCGACAGGGGCCTGGTCGGCAGCCGCTGCCCTCTTCCTGGAGCATTTTGTGCAGCGCGTCTATGAACAGCATGGAGCGAGGAGCACCGCCGCGGCGTAAACAGCGCGATGCAAAGAAGGCTGCAATGGGATCAGAACTGCCGCTCCCACCAGATTCGCTTCATTTGCTGACAGAAGAATGGAGAACACACGGGCTGCACAAGTAGCTGACAGCAGCATCCAACAACTATTACAATTAGAGAAGCGCATGCACGCGTCAGGAGTTCTGTGGACACCCTGGTCCTCCGATGCAGCCGCAGCAGCACGGAGACGAGTGCGAGCAGTCGTCACTGGGCATTCAGCAAGCCGCTCTCAGTGCAGTCGCTGCCAGCTCAGCATAAAACGCACCAATTCGCGCAGCCCTAACCTGAACCACGCCATTTGCGTCGACTGCACGTTTTTCAGCTGTCAACGTGAATGGACAAATCCACCAGCAATCCCCACCTTTGACGGCCTTGAAGTCGCCATTGTCATCCGTCGCTTTTTGGCCTGCGCCTGCACCGCCAACTCCACGTATCTGACACATTCGTCCTCGAATGCGAACACGTACACCGGCTTGTGGTCAGCCTCCCTGGCCCGTGGTTCGAATGAGTACTCCTTTATGTATGCGTACTCCCCCTCCGCACCATCGTCTACACCCCTGTTCAGCAGTGAATCAAAATGAATCCCAATTGCCATGGCTATGTTTGGAGCGTCGCATACAATGGCGAACACCAATATTGATCACCAGCGCATCAAACAGCGCCACAGTCCATCAGCTTGCGCCCCAAGAAGGGCGCTATTCGCCAGTGAAGGTGACAGAAGAAGCAGTGACATGCATTCACACACACTGTGCGCCAAAAGCTGCTGGGTTATTGCTATCGATTCTTCTTCAACTCGACCAATGCATGTGAGCAAGCGATTTGCCGGTGGGGCTCAGTACCACTCTACTGGATGGATACTTCACCAACGTTACTTCCCAGTCCGCTTGTTCGTTGATAATTCGAGGTCCCACTCCATTCTCCATGAATTCTGCTAAAAATCAGGCGAACTAAAATGACCCCCCTTGCATATGGTTTCCCATGGTTTCCTTTCTCATTTTGGGGGTGGCACTCAAGGACACCTAATAGCTGAAGGGGTGATGACTGGAACCGGACTTTCTGGCCTGGGCAGTTCCGCGACAGCAGCTTCACACATGGCACTGCACCTACAACACACAGCGGCCAACAGGGTCCACCACACGAGCCATGTTCTTACCCATCGCTTGTGCCATAGCCAGGAGGGAGGTCGCAAGGTGCCATGTAACCAAGCACTGTGAGATCTTCGTTGTCAGCCCCTTCCATGAATCGCACCAGAGCACGATCTGAACCAATAGCAGCAAAAGAAGGCTTTTAGTGAGCTTACTCTGGGTTCAGCCACAATGCAAATTGTCTGCATAGGAAGGCGCTCCGCAGTTGGGTGCTCGAATTAATACTTGGAAGCAGCTTGCACAAGCAAAAGTCTAGCTTCAGAGATGGGCTCCCAGTTGCAGCAGCTCTGGTAGAACGTGGACCCAGCAGGAACTCCCACTGTGTTTGAACTCAATGTACAGGCTAGAGAGCAGGAAAACGGCCACATTGCCAACAAGAACCTGCTGCAGCGTGGCAAAACATTAGTTGAGACACAGAGAATCCAGAAACAATACGATTAGAAGAAAACAAACAGCGCAGTGCAACAGATATTGTTCATGCCACACCTGCCACGCTTCTCCTATGCTCTTCCGAAAGCCTGCTCAGCTTCTTCGAGTCCTCAGTGGGATCGTTCTCGAACGTTATCGCTGCATGGTCACGCCTCCAGTGATCGAAATCTGGGAGAACTGCACACCAAGACCAAGCTGCCTGCATCAGAGGTTGAACATGGCAAGCCATCTGCCTTGCAGTTGAGAAACAAGGGGCTCTGAGGCTCCTGTGCTGCTACAACTGAGCGCCAAGGATTCGCCTTGTGGTTTGCAGGCTCTTTGACAATGGCTGGTGCAGCATTGGGCTCAGTATTGAAGGAATAGACAGTGCTTGTTCTTGGTTTGTGCACAACAACACAATGCCTGTCTGCCTACTGTTGCAAACATAAGGCATGACACTGTCCCTGGTGCATGCAACCCGGCACTACACTTGCAAATACAAGGTGGCAAGAAGCCTGGCCACTGGTCGCCTTATGGAGTGGTCCAATCTGGGGGTCCCAGACACGACTGGGCGCATCTGGTTGCGCAATCTATGGTGGTAGAATTCTGCTTTGAGGGCATGTGTCCCTTAAAAGAAAATGCTGGCCTGGCACCAAACCTGCACCAGCATGGGCCCTTCTGCAACAAAGGAAATTTTGACATCCACAGAGCTTGCTCCCAGAGTATGCATGAATGACTAACAAAGCCTGTGCACAGCAAGTACTCATGACTGTCGTGGACAGTGATACAAAGCACATTGTCTTCGTGTGAAATACTGGCAATCGCCGGTGCCTCATGCAATCACAATATGGTAGCATTCTGTGCATTGTCACAACATTCACTGAATGAGACAACAGCAGCACTTCAACCCACACTGCTGTGCATCCACAGACAACAAATTTGACATGTGCCAGCCTGTATCAAGCAAGCACATAAACTAGAGCAGCGAATTCGCATGTTCCTGGATCTTGTTCTGAGGACGGAGGGGGCCCCCTATGGAAACTGAATTTAACACCATTTTCCCCCAACAGCTTTCCGTACCTGCTCTCTGCAACGGAAATACAAATCATCAAAACAGGAACTTGCTCACCTGTCCACTGTTTCACAGGCTTTAACTTGGGATTCTTGGGATGAGTCAGCTTCCGTCGCACTTTCCGGAATGTACCCTGTGACACACTCCAGCACATTGAAACAGTGATTCTGAAAGAGGAGCCTTCACAGAGCAATTGTGCTTGCAGCAGCAGAGCCCACTTCCTCTCTTGCTAACCTCTGAAGTCACTTGAACGGCAAACACATCCGAGCATGCCCCACCTCTGACTCTTTGGCCATTTCCAAGGTTCTTGGTGCTGCTTGCACATTGCTCAACCCGCAGAGTGTCGAATTTCGATTGTGGGAGACCAAGCAAACACTGGGTGTATGCTACTGCGCCCACCATCGCCTTTCAGGTGGAAGGGCACTATTCGTGACAAGAACATGACAAATGCAATCCATGAAACTGAGCATTGCTGCTTAGTCCAGAGCAGACACCAATGATGTCCAAAAGTTTGATTCAGCCATCAAGGAAAAGCAGTCCGGCTAATATAACCCTGCTTGGTATAGACTCCACAAAGAAAGTATATGTGTGTGCTGCTCGCCAATCGATCAACCACAAGACTTCGACTTCTGTGAACGATCCCTGAAACGCTTTCGGAATGCATGACAACACCAGACATTCAGACCCTGGTCTTGGAATGCACCTTTTCCAGTCCAAAGCTACACATCCAGAGTGACGGTCACTCGATGCACAATTTGCATACCTCTATCCAGTGCACTTGCCCTTCTCGTGTCTGCAGCATTGCCTCTTCCTCTGCTGCCCGCTTCTTTGTCAGCCTCTCTGCCCCCAGCTGCTGTACACTGTGGTCAGGCATGTCGTTTGATATGTACCTTGCACACGATGGTAAAATTGGCCACGTCATTGCCAGAACAAATCACATGATTGCCCCGCAGGGCCAGAAACTCTGAGATTATGCTGACATTGTCCCCTTTTCCCTGGAATTATGCCCTTTTGGTAGTTTAGGTCCAGGGATCAAGTGCAGACACTATGGCATCAGCAGAAGACTGCAGTACCATTTGCATGGCAGCAACAGTTGTCCATGATGTCACTGCCACTCAGATATTGCCGCAGACAAAGGCCAGTGGTGTTGTTGGTGTTTGTTTCACCACACCACATGGATGTTGCACAGTCAACAGTATCCCCATTCCATGCTTGCAATTCTCCAAGGCCTGCACAACATGATACATCAGCTTACACAAGGGGCCAGCAGTATCCATCGGATGCTGTCCATGGGTTGTTTGATTCCGGTGTCCTGAGGTAGGTGCATCCAAAGCCATGCCACCCCTGCAGGCAGGCAGCATCTTGCTGCTTCCGATGCTCTCAAGGAATGCAATCTGCGAGGCAGACCCGCTGGTGCTACACAGGTTGACTTCAAGGGCAAGTGAAACACAGGACCCAAGTGCCAAGCAAGACATTGACAAGCAAAGGAACTGATACCCAAAATGAGAAGTACAGGTGTAGTGCATCGGGTCCCTATGAAATGACTCACGTGGTGCGCATCAGCCATGAGAGTGCTCCTGCAGACTGGCGCCTGGTCAACTTGCTTGCAGGATCCACCTCAAGGTCTTCACCATCCTGACCAACACAGTGACTCTTCACATTCCCAGTTCTACATCTCATTCAGGTGCCACCCTTCTCCTGACAAACGAGAAGCGGGTCTTCAACAAGTTCCAATGGGTAAAGCTAGACGATGCAACACCCCAGTAACGAATAACAACATGATACTGCATGCGAGAAATCTAAAGAAGACGAGGTCAGCACAGGGATGCAACTAAAAGTAGACCCCAGCTGGGGTCGCCAACCACACTTGTCCTGTCAAGATTCTATGATGGTGCTGTGAAGCATTGAACATACTGCAATGCGCACCTGCCACTTTGGCATCCTAAGGGATCAACGAAGAAAAGAAACAAGCACTATCCCTGGGACCAAGCATGGGGCAAAACACAAGCTCTGGTGTGGCTGAAATACAACAGCAATAGAATCAGGGCCAGCAGATAGTCCAAACATGCTGCACTGTCAAGCTGTGAAGAACCACCACTTGAATACATCTGTTGAAGGTCATGAAATGATCTCACAGCGAAGCAGAGCCACAGCCAGCTGTAGATCAAGGAAGTGGTCACAGAAAGTGGTGGCAATCCTTGGAATGCACCACTGGGGGTTTTCACCCAAGCCTTGTCCAGCAACAGCACATACATGCAAATCATTGAAATGGTACATAGTAGCATTTGCCCTGTGACCATTCCACATACAGATAATAGCTGCACAATATTGCCCCTTGCTTTCGGTGTCAACTTTACAAGACCGCGACCACCTTTTGATAGGCGATGACCGCGTTTCAATTGGCAAAGTAGAAACAAGTTCCTGCGCCTACAAGACTAAAATACGCACTGCAGCCGCTTCGATTTCCGAAATATCTGGTTGCTGGAAGTAAAGGAATGAAAAAAATGCCACATTGTCCTTCATTGAGGCAGGTGATGCAGACATTCATCACAGGGACAAGCAATGCTCACATTGAGCAGCTCTGCATCCTCTGGATCCAAGGCCGGTGGATTTTCCGATATGTCGTACTGATGGATGAGGAGGGGATAGATCTGTTCTCTTAAATCCATATGCGTTGACAGATCCCTCCTTGGCTGGCATTCCATCCTTGTTATTGAAAACTCCCCAAGCTCTTCGCGTGTCAGGTGCTTGGACAGCTGCTTCGGGTCGCAACACATCTGATCACAAGATGGCAGCATGTCTCACTTCAGAATTCTGGCACAGTACGGGGTACCTCAAGAAGGCATTCTGACTTCCATTTTGTTACACTTGTTAGTTTGCCATTTACACAAAAATAATTGTTGCATAATTTACTTCTGCTGCTACTGCAGTACCATGCTGTTACCATGTGACAATTCCCTGCGTTGCTTTTGCCTGCACAAGGCAAAACAATGCCCTTGCACTTTGCAAGCGATGATGAGCAATGTGCCTTGTGCGATGCTTGGCAACGTGCCCATTTTTTGCAGATTCGTTGGCAGTAGAAAATCCACTGCGCTTTCTTGGAGACAAGCAAACATCTAGAACAAATGATGCAGATGTAAATGTGCCCTGAAGGCGCAAGCTCCCAGTGTTCTTTCATATGTCAGGTGATGGAATCAAGGGACTGAATCTTCAGCACAAGCACTAGTTTGTTTGTAAGGTCCGGCATTCAGTCCTCAAGTGCCCCCTTGGATGTTGTCACAGGGTGTTTTTACTTTAACTGACATTCCGCGCATCCAATGTGATGCACCAAAAAGTAAAGTTGAGGTGGCACTTTAGGCACATCTGACACCCTACCTGACGGAACAATGTACTGACAGGCTGTCCTGTCAGCCCTCCAAGCAACACACTCAGAACAATTACCATCGACAGCTTACATTGAAAGCTTGCACCGGGTGGGCAGCAGTGCGCTGTGACAACCATGTGCGTAAGTAACAGAAGGGTGGCTAGGGGGGATATGAATGAATGACGGACGGACAAACAATTTTGATGCGCACATGTCTGTCATCGCCGCCGAAGCAAAAGGGATCCACTCTTCCTTATGAAGAGAAAGGCGACGCAAGGATTCAGCAGGGCACCGTCAACACCCTCCCCAATGTGCCGCACTGAACGAAAGCGCTCCTCCCACCATCGAGCCCCATGGGCAGGCCGGACCCCAGGAACAGAAACCGTTCCGCATCCGACGCGATCAGCATCGGCAACGAGGACCCGATCAGCAATCTGCTGCGATTCAAGCCGCCGCGTGGGCGCTGGTCCGGGCGACGCCCCCCGCAGCCCGCGAACGGCGGTCGAGCAGCGCCGATCGACGCAGCCCGCCTCAGGGCCCCCACCTCCGGCAAGTCCGCCTTGAAGCGCATCTCCGCCACGAACCGCGTCTCACGCCGCAACTTGTTCTCGGGCTCCGGCCTGACCCTGGCCTTGGCGCCATCCCTCTGCCCCCCAGTTCGCGCATGGCGATCCTGCAGCTGGTTGCCACCCTTGTGCTTCGCAGCGCTCATGCCGATCCCAGCCCCACCCCCGGCCGCGCAAACGATGTACACAAACGCTGAAGCCTGCACGCCCTCGCTGAAACAGCAGAGCGTCCCATTGGCAAGGTGCAGCGTCGGAATGCCCGTTTATGCACCCCAAGAAACGCTCCCTACCCAAGCGGCGTTTACCTACTGCTAAAGTACTGCCGACAACGGACTAATCGGAGCGCACCGGCCGCGTGGGGGCCGCCAGACGCCCGCCAGGCTGGCACAGGACGCTGCCACTGTGCCCAACTCCAGTTGTGCCCGTCGTTAAACCTCGGGGGGCCTTGCCCACCCGTTGCTAACGAAGCTTCACCTTTTCGGTTTATCAATCGGGACGGGATGGCGCACTCAGGGCGCTGGACCAAGTCTCATTCAGTCACACTCTTCTTTCCGGGCACTCTTGAAAGCCCTCACACCGGTTTGCCAAATGTCTCTCCTTACATTACAAAATCAAGCCAAATACCTTGGGAAGAGGTGGGCGGGAGCGAAAAACGAGATAGCCACAAACTCGTTTCGCCAACCTTAAGTCCCAAGTTCCCTGTTTGCCCAGATCACTGTGAACCAGTTTTTCCACTGGTGCAAACAGCCGCTCAGTTCGGTTCCTGGGCTTTATAACCAACCGCGACTGGTCAGCCCAGTCGCTGCCCATAACTTGACCACAACTTCAAGAGTTGCGCCAAACACTTTCTCATTGAGCCTATGCTTTCCAAGTTTGAGAAACGGCAGCGCCATCCATACTAACTCCAAGTGTGCCAAGTACTAAACCTTTGCCGGCCTTTCAAAGGTTCCCACCCGACGGCCCTGATCCCGATTTAAACCTATTCACTGCATTACATTTCGTAAATCTTGCTTAAATCTCGGGGGGCCTTGCCCACCCGTTGCTAACGAAGCTTCACCTTTTTGGTTTATCCATCGGGACGGGATGGCGCACTCAGGGCGCTGGACCAAGTCTCATTCAGTCACACTCTTCTTTCCGGGCACTCTTGAAAGCCCTCACACCGGTTTGCCATGCTACCCGCGATGTCTTCCCTAACTAGGACGGTGTAGTCTGGTAGGCTCTGACAGGGAGGCAAATGAACCGCCCGGAACTGCGCAGAACTGGTCGGTGCTGACGGGAAGTTGGGCTTGACCGCGGGGCGTGGACAGTCGAGGTCACGAGGACCTCGGGGCGTCGAAGTGGGGCGTGGCCGGTGGGGAGGCGTCGAGCATGGCGGTGTCCCCATCGGATGGCGGCAGTGGAGGAGCGCTCGGGACGGGGGAGCGACGATTGGCAAACTGGGCGGCGATGAAGGCCACGTCTCGTCGCATCCAACCGAACCACTGGGCGTCCTCGGAGGTAGGGGTATGCGTGAAGTCGATGTAGGAGAACACAACATCGCTCCTGAAGCTCCAGCCGCCCCAGTAGCAAATGGTTTCGAGGGGCACGCCGATGGCATGCGCGGCAGTGGCTCCACCTCACCGTAGGTCGTGATGTCGAAGGGCGCTGCCGAAGAGGGCGGGCCACCAAGCTTGGGCCTGGGTGCAAATGGAGGCGACCCAGGAGGCCCGAGGAGGGGGCTCGCCCGGCAATTGCCAAAAAGCCGTGGGCGGGGGGTGTTGACCGAATGCCGTAGCGCGGGCGGAGCGGTAAGCCTCCAAGATCTGGAGGAGGGGGGGAATGCCCGTGGGGTCGAAGGCACGGACGCGATTCTGCAAGCGGTCCATGCGCTTGCGCTTGAACCGCACCTTGCGGAAGATAATCTTGCCTTCTGCGACCTCGAGGTCTTGGGCTTTGATCGGAAAGGCGGAGGCCCCTCGGTTGAAAAAAGCGAAGTCCAACGCCAGTAAGAGGACGGCTCGAAGGTGGGGAAGGGGGGCGTCGATCATGACCCGGTGCAGTAAGGCTGTTAGGGCGTTGGCCGGAAAGGGGGTGGGCTGGTCGCGGGCCTCGGTGTCGGCGATCTCGAGGCGCCAGGAGGCCAGGATCGCGTTGGATGCCGTAGAGGTAGCGGACCAGTTGTCGACGCCGAACCAGCGATGCACCGTGGTAATTGCAGCAAGATATTGCAGTGCTGAGCGGACGTTGATCCCCGATTGACGCAGTGTATCGATGTAGAGCAGGATGCGGCCGCGATGTACCGGGACCGGCGAGCAAGGGACTGAGCTGCAATACCGCCACCACCGCTTGAACTTGGAGATGATGCTGGAGCGGCCCGAGGGGGCGTTGGACGTGGACAGGGCCCGGAGGATGGAGGCGGCCTCGACATCGGAGAGGCCAGCGACGACCGGGGGCGAGAAGGAGGGGTCCACGAGGGGTGGCCACGAGGTAGGTGGATGGAAGAGTGTTGAGAGTGAGTCCTGGAAGGAAGGGGGGGCTTGAACAGTGTTGTCCTACCGAAATGTGAAATCCGCTGTAGGATGCTCTGAGCCCGCCAAGGGTAGAGTGGGCGCGGGTCGCTGGAGGCGAGGGCGCTTGAATCCACCGGAGGGGGGCGGGTCTTGAGGGGTCGCAGTGGGGCTCAGTGGAGAGGCTCGAGATGTTCGAGCTGGGCTGAGCGCGCGAGGTGCTGCCACTGGCGGGACCGCAAAGCAGCCACCATAGGAGGTGGCGGGGCGGGCGGTCCACGCGGAGCGCCACAATGCGCCACCTCGGGAGGCCCTGGGGCAGGTGCCCTGAGCGTCCGGAGAGGAAGGTCGAGGGGCCCCGAGGAATGGGGACCCGAGCCCAGGCGAGGGAGTGGAGCTGCCGGTACCAAGGCTTGCCGATCCACTCGGGCACCAGAACAGTGGCGTGCACTGAGGGGAGGCTGGTCAGGAGGGCGACGACACGGGGCAGCAACGTCCACGGGGCGTTGATCCAATTGTTGGCGGTGCACCAATCGGATGCGGAGAAGGCGTCGCCTTCGGAGCCAACGTCTCCCCAGTGCGAGTTGTACCAAAGACAATGCCGATTGAGGGTGGAGGCGAAGCGGTCCACGTGATGGGGCCCGAAGAGGGAGTCGAGGAGGCGGAAGAGGGGCGGGTTGAGTTGCCAGTCTTCGGAATCGCGTAGTCACGACAAAGTGTCCGGGAGAACGTTTGTTAAGGAAATTTGAGGGGGTAATCAATTCCCCGCTTAATTCTACCATTAAGGGAAGTGAAAGACCATTATTGAGGTCACTAGCGAATCTGGGACGTTTGGGCACTTGGGCCCCAAGGTTTCTAAGGGAAAGTCCCTAGTGCTGGACTTCCCTCTTTATTTAGAAGCCTTTGTCCCCTTACAGTACTGTGGGGGACCTTTTATAATGTTATTGGATACATTGGGGGCGGTCCCCCTTGGCTCCGGTACGAAGGGGAGCACCTGGGGCTGAGTTATGCCCCGTTTAGGTTGCGTGGCCTCTAGGAAGTTTCTGGACGCTTGACGCAGTATAAAAAGGGCAGCTGTTTGCCCTTTTGTAACATTCGTTTCTTTTCTGACTAATCTTCAGTCGTGCCCACGAGAGGCGTGCCCCGCGGTACGCCAACCTTGTTGCATCCGCCCGCTGTACAGCCGCATCCGCCCGACGCGACCCGCGTCCCTGGGCCCACCGACGCGGAGTGAGCCAGCGAGCACCCCGACAGAGCGCCACCCGACCCGCACATTCCGGGCCGGGCGAGAGGGGGATTGACGCGCTGTGCGTCTCCCCACCGGGTGCCGCGAGAGCCGAGGACCGGCGGCATCGAGGCCGCGCGGAATCGGCGCATTGCGCGCCGTTGCATTTGGTTTCGGAGCCGAGTGACGAGCCGGACGAGCGGAAACGGGACAGCAAGGGCAAAGGAGTCGAAGGGACACCGATTGGAGCCCTCCGGACCACGGGCAAGCGGCGATTGGAGCTCGCCATCCCCGCCCATTACGATCCCCGAGGCCGGAATCGAGCCGTCCGGCCTCGGCGAGGCGAGTCCGCCCGCGCAGCAGTTGCCAGGGAGAGCGCGACCCGTGCCGCGCAGCGCGCCCCGGAGCGGAGCGCCGTTGACCGAGCGCGAGCCGGCCAGAGCGGCCGCAGCGCCTCCCTCCCCCGAGTCGGACATTGGGAGTGACGTGACGGCCGATTGGCGGCGGTACAGGTCGGGTGCCATGCCGCGCAGTGCGTCACGTGATTGACAATTGCGTTGAGAGTGACGTGTGGCTGCGGGTGACGTGTGGCTTGCCGTGCGGAGTGCTGAGTGGATCGTGAGTGATCGGAGGCGTCCCCGTGAGGCGCCAGTGCGTGTCAGAGTACTGGGACCGTGGCTGTAGGTGACGGTGCCACCCCAAAGTACTGGGAGCACCGGGTGCTACCCTAAACTACTGGGAGCACCGGGAGGAGCCTTAACTACAGCCAACGGGGCCTACAGCCTTAAGTACTGGGCATTGCCCTAGTACTTAACGGGGACTTGAGCCTAAAGTACCGCTGGGAGCTAAGTACTGGGATATCTGGCCAGTACTTTAAGTGATCCAGTACATTAACTGGACACTTAAACGAGGTAATTGGCCAATAATTCCAGGCCAATTAGGCGACCAATTGGGACAATCAAACGCCCAATTGGGGAGGACCTGCCCTACCTCAGGCGGCTACCCGACTTGAAGTTCAGTTTACTTCGGGACTACCACAAAGTACTGTCAGTACACCAAGTACTGTCAGTACATAGAGGCAAAGTACTACAGTACATTGACCTTAAGTACTATAGTATATTAAGGCAAAAAGGGTTTTTCTAGACAAAATTTTGTGGTGGTTCATAGGAAGTGACGAAGGGAGAGAGGGAGCGGGTAGTAAGGGTAATACCAAGCAAGGGGAATTGTTGAGAGGATTGAATCCTCTCCCCAAAACTTGAATTACCCTCAGGGAACCTATTTCCCTGTAGTGCAGCAGACCCAACTCCCGCCAGGAGAGTCCTAAGTCTGCGGGGCACCTGGTTGAAGCAACCGGTAGCGGTCTGTTTGCTAGCAGGAGTAAGAGGGTAGATAAGGTGAATTGTGACCTCTTTGGGTGTCCACCTCCGTCAAAGGG